TTTCTCTGTTCCCCCATCACACACTTTTTTTTTTTTTTTTAAAAACGATTTGGAGTTCTGCAGCTGTTCCTGGCAGCCTGCCACTCCAGGAGGAAACTCCTCTCTCTGGTTACCTATGGGGATCCCTGCCCCTGCAGAGCGGGTCTGGATGCAGCCCAGCTGTGCAGAAAGGGGCTGGAGCCATGCAGTCACTGCTCATGGCTCCAGTGACGCCCGTGGGGCTGGCAGGGACTGCACAGCGCTGTCCTCAGCCCACATCCCACACCCTGCTGAGCCTGGCCCAACAGCACCAGCCCTCCCACACAATACATTTTATCAAACCGGCTCCAAAGAACACACCGCAGAGATACCTGGAGATCACCACCTCCACCACGTGCCAAGATACCTGCAGATTAACACCATGCATACACAGCTGGGGATCACCTCCACGAGGCAGTCAGTGATCAACACCAGCACCACAGCATCCCACACCCAAACCCATGCAGCCACCAAGCCACAGATGCTCAGAGCACCAACCTTCGGTGGTCCTTTGGTGAAATAACAGGACAGCCCGGTTTGGGAGAGTTGACAACCACGCTTGAACCTGGCACAGATCTCACCCACCAGGTGCCCACCTGCACCAACCACACACATTCATGGGAGCAGCCAGCACGGGACACAAAAAGGAACTGCCCCACAGCCCGAGGATGCCTGAGCACACCTTCCTGCATGCCACCCCCAAAGCACAGCTGGAAGGCATCTTCCAGGGGAAGCTGGGTTTGGGATTCAAAGCACTGGATGACACTGTGCTGCTGGCAGACCAACATCCTTCCAGATTCCCCAGTTATCCCACCATGGCTTACACCACACCAGCTGCTACATTGCTCTGGCTTCAGCAACTTCACTGAGATCTGAATCCAACGGGAAAGGTTTCACATACTGGGTAAAAGGAGACCTGGGTGTCCCCAGCCAGACACAGATACCATGCTCCCCATCTTCTCTGCAACCAACACCACCTTCCCCAGTTGCAGCACAGCATCCTTCCAGACAGGAGGAGTTAGAGAGAAAGAACTACATCGGTTTCCTGAGGTTAAAAAAATAAAATAAATCAATGATCTGCTCTAACGACCATGTTGCATGCTTAAAAGCAAGCTGAAGCTGCTGCAACGTAAATCTCCCAAAGCAAAAACATAATTTTGAATATGAGTATGGATTCTTTTTCCAGGAGGGAGCTGGGTATAGCAGAGGAGAGGAAGGATGAAGTCTCTGGCAGCTGAGCACCACTCTGATCCTCCTCTCCTGCAAGTTGCACTCAGGCTGGCCGCACAGGCAGAGCAATGCCACAAAAAGTATGTAGCAACAGTCAACTAGATTTAAGTTCATTTTCTGTAGCTGGAGGCCAAAATCGACTGAAGTGGTTCTGGTGATCAAGTTTTCTGCAATTCCCCTTTCTATGTATTAGCTCTTTGACAGAAATTCACTGCGGTATTTAAACTGGCAGTCATCACCGCTAACTCAAATTGTATTGGCTTTCACAATGTTGAAACGCTGAACTGCAACCATCAATCGGCCAATTCCGAGATAACGCGGTGGCTGAAATCCCCTGTCATGCTGCACGCTCCCTTTGTAGCTCGCTGGCCATGGGAGGCACAGAGGGAGCAGGCACTGCATGTGCTGCAATACACAGAATCAGCCAAACGGGAAGCGGGGAGGCAGAGCGGGGAGGCAGAGCGGGGAGGCAGAGCGGGGA